AAAAAAAAAGAAAATGGTGGTCTGGGCTTGGTGGCTCACACCTGTAATCCTAGCACTCTGGGAAGCTGAGGCAGGTGGAATGCCTGAGCTCATGGGTTAGAGACCAGCCTGAGCCAGAAAACCTCATCTATAAAAATAGCTGGGCTTTGTGGCAACTGCTACTCTGGAGGCTGAAGCAAGAAAATTGCTTGAGCCCGAGCATTCGACGTTGCTGTGAACTGATGCCATGGCATTCTACCCAGGGTGACAAAGTGAGACTCTGTCTCAAAAAGAAAAAGAAACAAGAAAATGGTGGAGTTGCACATGGGAGGAGTGTGGTCCCTAAATCAACACTTGAAAAGAACTGACCACAGACCAAGAATACCTGTTTGAGAGTATACACAAATGAGGAACTCACAGGTCACCTTTCTTCTAGAGTTTACTGAGGTCCCCAGTCTACTTTTCCAAAACCCTAAAACACTAATATACAAATTGCTGGAGAGCGTCAGGACTGCGCACATCATGAGCTGGGAGTGCTGGCTGTGGCCCTGGTGGGATCAGTAGAGGCTATAGGTGAGGGCAGCCACTGTGCCCAGGTAACTTGAGAGACAACTGGGGAGGTCTCTCCCCACTTTGGACCTTCTTTCCCCCAGGCCAACCCCTCTGGAGAACAGCAAAGGGAGGGTGGAGGGGTTGTTTGAAGCAGGATCCTCCTAGTTGAACAGTCTGCCCCATTTCAGCCCTCCAATCCAGTCCTCAACCTCACTATTGTCCTCACTCCAACCAGTTCTTCCCAGTGCACCAGGCTGCTTCTCTGAGCTGTTTCCTGTTCTGTAATCTGTCAAGAGTCAGGATGGCCAGGCACACTGGCTCATGCCTGTAATCCTAGCACTCTGGGAGGCCAAGGAGGGTGGATCACCTGAGCCAGAGCGAGACCCCACCTCTAAAAATAGCCAGACGATATGACAGGAGCCTTTAGTCTCATCTACTCAGGAGGCTGAGGCAAAAGAATCACTTGAGCCCAGGAGTTTGAAGTTGTTGTGAGCTGTGACACCACAGAACTCTATGAAAGCAAGAGCAAATGAGACTCTGTCTCAAAGGAAAAAAAAAAAAGAGCCAGGATGGTCTGAACAATGGAACCCTATAGGTTCTCTGGAGGTGGGAGGTGAAGAGGAGGTGCCGAGTAGAGGGCAGAATCCCCTCCGTCTGACAAAACCATAGCAGCTCTCATCTGAAGAAGTCTTCCTACCAAAAGTTTGAAATGCTGATGACTAAATGATTTTTCTTCAAATAGCATCACCCTAGGCCCAATGTCTAGAACAGTGATTCAACCTGTGACATGAAACTTTTTAAAGATCATTAATTCAATTATTTTCAAAAGAAGTTCAAAGCACAGTAAATGTATTTTTTTTACTCAATTTAAGTGTGCCACAAAAGTTTAACTATAGGTTCAAGTGTACTGTGAGACAGAGAAAGGTCTAGAATCTAAGCAATGGCACCTGGGAACCTCTATTTTTTCTTTTTTGAGAGAGAGAAACTTACTATGTTGCCCTCTGTAGAGTGCTGGGGCATCACAGCTCACAGAAACCTCAAACTCTTGGGCTTAAGTGATTCTCTTGCCTCAGCCTTCGAAGTACCGTGTTTCCCCGAAAATAAGACACTGTCTTATATTTATTTTTTCTCAAGAAGACACACTAGGGCTTATTTTCAGGGAAATGTCTTTTTTTTTTTTTTTGCAGTTTTTCGCCAGGGCTGGGTTTGAACCCACCACCTCCAGCATGTGGTGCCGGCGCCCTACTCCTTTGGGCTACACCTGGGATATCTTATTTTTATTAAGTATAATACAATAATCTACATTTATTCAAATACAGTTAAGTCATCTTCTTCGGGAACCTGATGGGGGAGCCATCCTTGTTGGTGGGGCTGGCACTAGTGATGCATGAACTCCTTTCCTCTAGCCATTTGCTCATGCACAATAGGATGCCTGTTACCACTCATGCACCCACACCAGTGCAAGGTTTGGAGAAAGGAGCTGTGGCAGATAAAAGGTATTCCAGTCTTCCTTACAGCTCCATGCAGAAATGCATAGACACACCCATCACTAGGTCTTATTATCAGGGTAGGGCTTACATTTAACAAATAAATAGAAATCCTGCTACGGCTTATTTTTTGGGTAGGTCTTATTTTCAGGGAAACATGGTAGCTGGGACTACAGGCGCACACCACGCCTGACTATTTTTGGGGTATAGTTGTCGTTGTTTAGCAGGCCCAGGATGGGTTTGAACCTGCCAACTGCGGTGTATGTAGTTGGCGCTCTTGCCGCTGAGCTACAGGCACGGGCGGAGTCGGGAATCTCTATTTTTAACACCTGCCCCAGGTGACTGTTATCAGGGGAGTTTGGGAATCACTAGACTACTGGATTCCTAAAGGACGCTACAGTGCAAAGTCTGTTTCCTCCTAAAACAAAGAATAAAAACCATAGGGGTAAGGGGGAGGAGGAAGTTGTGAGCCTGAGAATGAATTCACCAAACTACACGTGGATTAGAGTTTATTAAGTAGGGAGTCAGGAGGTGTGGCATAAATAGTATGCAGCATCCAAAAGGAACAGAATCTAGATTT